GGGGAGCGGGGATCGGGACCGGGAGAGGGGAATTGAGGATCGGGCAGCCGGGACCGGGGAATGGGGGACTGGGGACCGGGAGCGGGTGTAGCGGAGAGTGGGGATCGGGAATGGGGGATTGGAGACCGGGGAGCCAAGGGGATCGAGGAGCCTTGGGAATCGGGGAGCCTCGGAATGGGGGACTGGGGATCGGGGAGCCTGGGGGATTGGGGAGCGGGGAATTGGGGATTGGGGAGCCGGGAGCAGGGGGAGCCTAGGAATGAGGGATTGGGGAGATTGCAAGTGAGGAATTGGGGGATTGGGGAGCGGGGAATCTGGGGGATTGGGGTGTCTGGGGGATTGGGGTGTCTGGCGGATTGAGGGATTGGAGTGCTTTGGGATTGGGGAGCCTGGGAATGGGGGATTGGGGTGTCTGGGAATTAGCGTGCCTGGGAATGAGGGATTGGGGTCCCGGGGGCTGTGGGGTTGAGGTTCCCAGAGCCCTGAGTGTTGGGGGCACCAGGCCAGGGGGTTTGGGGGTGTCCAGAGCCGGGGGTTGGGGTTCAGGAGGGGTCAGGGCATTGGGGGTTTGGGGTGCACTGAGGGCTTTGGGGAGCACGGGGAAAGGGATTTCAGAGACCCCAAATTCAAGATGGGGGGAAAGTGAGCCAGAGATTCTGGACCCCAAATTCGGGATGGAGTGCACAGAGCCAGGGATTTTGGGGGCCCAAAATTCGGGATGGGGTGCAGGGRGTCAGGGATTTTGGAGACCCCATATTGGGGATGGGGTGGAGAGAATGAGGGATTTCAGAGACCCCACATTCGGGAGGGGAGGTGGGGGGGAAAGGAGCCAGGGATTCTGGACCCCAAGATCGGGATGGGGTGCACAGATCAAGGATTTCGGAGACCCCCCCTAAATTCGGGTTGGGGTACACAGAACCAGGAATTTTAGACCCCAAACTGGGGATGGGGCGCAGGGAGTCGGGGATTTTGGAGACCCCAAATTCCCCGTGTTCCCGGTGCGTTCCCGACTCTGTCCCCGGGTCCCCGGGCGTGTTCCCGTGTGTCCCTGTGTCCGTGGGTGTCCCCGCGTGTCCCCGGCGCTTTCCTGATGCTGTTCCCGTGTCCCCAGCGCTGTCCCTGTGTCCCCGGGCGCGTTCCCGACGCTGTCCCCGCGTTCCCCGTGTCCCCCGCACGTTCCCGTGTGTCCCCGTGTCGCCGGGCGCGTTCCCGCGTGTTCCCGAGCTGTGTCCGTGTCCCCAGGCGCGTTCCCGAGGCCGCAGCCCAGCTGTCCCCGTGTCCCCGGGCGCGTTCCCGTGTGTCTCCAACTCTGTCCCCGTGTCCCCGGGCTGTCCCCGTGTCCCCGTGGGCGGTTCTCCTCCCCCTCTGCCCCACCCAGAGCCGGGGCGCCGCAAATTAAAGGGCGATTTGATTTAAAATAACCCCAGACGGGCCGTTTTTAACGCGTTCCGGGTGGTTTTAACCCATTCCAGGTCTTTTAACCCATTCCAGAGGTTTTTAACCCATTCTAGGTGTTTTTAACCCATTCCTCGGGTTTTTAACCAATTCCAGGGGTTTTTAACCCATTCCAGGTTTTTAACCAATTCCAGGGCTTTTTTTAACAAATTCCAGAGGTTTTTAACCCATTCCTGGGGGTTTTAACCAATTCCAGGGATTTTAACCAATTCCAGGGGGTTTTAACCCATTCCACAGGTTTTTAACCCATTCCGGGTGTTTTTAACCAATTCCAGAGGTTTTTAACCCACTCCGGGGGTTTTTAACCCATTGCAGGATTTTTTAACCCATTCCAGGGTGGTTTTAACTCATTCCAGGGTGGTTTTTAATCCATTCCGGGTGGTTTTAAACCATTCCAGTT